CAACAGCATCTCATTAACTAAAACTAAAACTCCTTAAATAACTCCTAGCTTCGTAGCGAGGCCATAATTTCATTTTATCACGTTTCAAGAAAATCAAATAATAAACACTGAGATGATTTTGGGAAAGTTTTTATTTTTGAAAACGAGGTAAAACCTGGACAAAATAAAAATAGAAAATATTTTAAAATCACTAGATTTATTAATAAAAGATGATCGTTTTAATAATTGCCGATAAATTTTTATTGAGACTCCCTGTGAAATCGGTAAATGTTTAATACTGTTCACAAAATTATCATGATACAAGTATTACATTGTTATTTTAGTATCTGAGTAAAATATAATCGTTTTCCCACACTTTATATATAATATAGTTCCGGACTATATTAACCACCAGGTTAATCCAGACAAACTGCAGAGATAGGTCATTCGAATCTTTAAACAATTAACCAAAATTAACCAAAACATCAGTTTAACAAGAAATAAATGTAGATAAACAATCAATAAACAGATTAACAAATCATTGAACAGAAAAGCAAACCAATAAACAGATTAATAAACCAAAAAAACAAATTAATAAACTAATAAACAGATTTATTATCACATAAACAGATTAACAAACCAATAAACGGATTTGCAAACAATAAGCAGATTTGGAAACCAATAAAAACCTATAAACAGATTAACAAACTAATAAACAGATTAATAATCTAATAAACAGATTAACAAACAAATAAACAGATAAAAAAACTAATAAATAGATTAATAAACTAATAAGCAGATTTACAAACTAATAAACAGATTTAAAAACCAATAAACAGTTTAACAAACTAATAAACAGATTAACAAACTAATAAACATATAAACAAACCAATAAATAGATCAACAAACCAAATACAGATTAGCAAACCAATAAACAGATTAACAAACTAATTAACAGATCAACAAACTAATAAACAGATTAGCAGGCCAATAAACAGATTAACAAACTTACAAACAGATTAACAAACCAATATAGAGATTAGGAACTAATAAAGAGATTAACAAACTAGTAAACAGATTAACAAACCAATAAACAGATAAAGAAACTAATAAACAGATTAACAAACTATTAAACAGATTAACAAACTAATAAACAGATTAACAAACTAATAAACAGATTAACAAACCAATAAACAGATTAACAAACCAATAAACAGATTAACAAACCAATAAACAGATTAAGAAACTAATAAGCAGATTAACAAACCAATAAACAGAATAAAAAACCAATAAACAGATTAACAAACCAACAATCAGATTAGCAAACCATTGAACAGATTATTAACCTTTAAACAGATTAGCAAACCAATAAACAGATTAACAAACTAATAAGCACATTAACAAACTTGTAAACACGTTAACAAACCAATAAACAGATTAACAAACCAATAATTAGATTAACAAATCAATAAACAGGTTAACAAACTAATAAACAAATTAACAAACCAATAAACAGATTAACAAACCAATAAACAGTTTAACGATCAAATTATTAAACCTTGCATTCAAAGGATCAATTAAGAGATTTATAACTTTCCGATCAATCACAGACAAAAATAAGAAATGACAAATTTGGCAAATTATTTAGTATAAAATTTACATCTTGAGTTGTCCGAAGCCGGAAAACTGTGTATAGTGTGCATGCAGTGTGTGTTGTGCATTTGTGTAAATACTTAAATCTCTTAAAACTATGAAGTTAGCCCGGTATAATAAATACTTAAGTTCTTTTACGACCAAAATATTTTCTCATATATCTTAAAAGTGTTTAAAACAACGTGGAGTCAAACTATCAAAGTTTGTATAATAATGATGGTTAGGATATCTTTATCATAGTCCGGAAATATATGATCAATAAGGGTTCGTTGATATTCCCTCTAATATTAAAAAAATGTTTGATATAATCATATATTTCAATGGTTTGCCGATGGCCCCGGAAACCTGATATTCAGACAATGAATAGTTTGCAAAAATTGGTTTTGATTTTAGAACCTAGCTTGCTGCACATTCATTAGTTTTCATTTCCTCTTTAGTTTGTTTTACCATTTGTTGGTTAAAAACATACATGCAGGGGTTTCTTCATTTTTAACATTTTTTACTCTTCTTTATCACGCACAATGAAAGGCTGCCTAATCATGCAAGGAATTCATATAGCATTTTTCTAAGAGACTTCATTTCCGGAACTTCATATTTTCCTTTCCGAGTAAATTTTATTACAAGTTCACGTCCGATGCACAACAGTACACTTTAAGTTATCTCTAAAATCCCTTTAAACAGAAAGTACATTTTATCTTTCTTTCTAATCTGATTTTAAAGTCAGGCACAAAAACTAAGATATAAAGGTTGACAAGTCAGCAAGATTATAAAATAGGGCGGGAGCAATTTGTCCCGAGTCATACTAAACATGAGAAGGATAAAAATATATTTGAAGATATAGAAGGCCTCCCTCCGACCCTTCCAGTTCAGTTCCTAAATTCGGAGCGTGCACACCACGAGTATCCGCGCGTTCATATTTCCAAATTAGTGATATGACAGTGCAATCTACTCGTCTTGTTAAACAACCGCTTTTTACGCATTCATTATGAATAGTCTTATGATTGATGTTGTGATATTTCATAAACAAAATATTGACGAGGGGAGGAAGGCCAACCACAACAATTTCTCGTCCGAGCCACATTCTCCTCATTTTCTTGTCCGCGCCACCTCGAAATCCTCGTCCTTTCAATATGTTTTTTTAAGTGTCTAATTCTTCCAGTTAAAACTTTTTTTAAGAATCAAGCCACGTTAGGGCATAAATGAAATATCAAATTTTTGTAAATCGAAAAAAAGTTTCAATTGAATTAAAGATTTCAAGTTGAATGTCTTTAAAAATGTTCACCTTTTTACGGGCATTTTCAGATATTCCTGGTGTAGAATTCCAAGTTTATAGAACTTCAATCTTTTTTGTTAACTATAGTGAAAACCATAGAATTTTTCCGGGTGGTTCCATTGGGAAAATTATGGGCAGAGGTATGCCAAATATTTTGCCATTTATTTTATATGACGAAGGTTAGCCATTACGGAGGCAAAAGAGATTTAAGTTTTACCTAAATAAAGTTTGCCATCATTCTCATTTAGTCCATCCATATTTTTTGCCCTAACGTGGTCAGATTTTAAAAAAATAGTTTTATCTTCAAGAATTAAAAACTTTTTAACACAAAATAATCGAAGGACGAGGATTCCGAGGTGGCTCGGACGAGAAAATGAGGAGAATGTGGCTCGGAAGAGAAATTGTTGTGGTTGGCCTTCCTCCCCTATATTGACAGAACATTTTAAAAAAAATTTTGTAGAAAGGGAATTTTAATGCCGGACAATTTCATAGACAGTACATAATGTAGACAGTACAAGACGTAGACAGTGCATACGTAGACAGTACATATCATAGACAGTACATATCGTAGACAGTACATATCGTAGACAGGATATTTCAACGGAGACGTTTCTTAACCAGGCCAATTTCACTGATCGGACATTTTATAGAAAAAGAAGATTTTACATAGACATAACATTAACTCTTCTTACATAAAATTGGATTTCTTGATAAATTGTAAGAACTGTCTCCAAGGGCGTACACAGAAATAAATCTAAGGGGGAATTTTGTTTTGCCCCCCCCCCCAGGAGCTCCTAGGGGGTTTTAATTTTAAACATTTGGCTTCTAGTATATCAGGCATACTTTTTTATGGGTTATGGTATACATTTTACGTTATCGTCTGTTATTAAAATTTTTGGTAAATCTTCACAACTTCAAAGCCAATGCATTTTTTAAAAAGTTTAAACCGTAAATTCAGAACATTTGGCTTCTGGATATCAGGCAAAAGTATAAGATACTTTACACGTACACATACAGTCCAATCACAGTCCAAATCCCTCCTTCAAACAAAACTCTGTAAACTTTAAAGAGGAAATTAGGTTACAGCACTGCAATAATATGTATTTTTTTGTTGTGGGGGAGACTTCCCTCAAACTTCTGAACAGCAAACTTTTTTTGTTATTTCTTTACTAGCAGTTTGAAGATTTGAAAAGTGTGACAGTTCTGAGTTCTAGGGGGCACTTGCCCCCCCTGTGTACGCCCGACTGTCTGTGTCTAAAATTGTCCCATCTCAATTATCTATAATTTTGCTGACTATGAAATGTCCCATTTTATCCTCTATATAAAATGTCCTTTCCATGATTATGTTATTTAAAAGTGTCCCAGCACCTTATAATTTTAATTTGATCAAATGTTTCAGAATGGAACCGGGGTTTTTATAATCCAAAACTTGAATAAAACACCAGACTAGTGAAAATGAAGGTAAAAAATAACTGTGCAAGATTTAAAAAAAAAATATGGAAATATTTAACTTAAACTGTCCAGGTGCAGACATTCAAATAATAGTTAAAATAGAAAAAAAAGAATAAAAGGAAACTAAAACATTGAAAAGAGTGGAAAGGAAGGAAATGAAAAGAGAAGAAAAAAAAGAAATTAAGAAAGGGGGAAGAGAGTGTAGAGATAGAGAAGGATGAAATGAACAAAATTAATGGAAGGAAAGGAAAATCATCAAAACGAAAGAAAAAAAGAAAAAAAGAAAGAAATAAAAAATAAAAAAATAAACTAAGGAAAGAAAAAAAGAAAGAATCCAAGAAGATTAGAAAGAAGAAGAAAAAACAAAAGAAAGAACGAAAGAAAGAAAGAACGAAAGAAAGAAAGAAAGAAAGAAAGAAAGAAAGAAAGAAAGAAAGAAAATTTTAAAGAAATTAAGAAGAATAATTGTTTTCAAGAACATCATTTCTGCATACTTAAACAATGGAAATCTAGTCTAATTAACCTCTTTAATTAATTATATCTAATTATGTTTTTATAACTATGCAATGTAATAAAGATTAAATCAAGGTTGATTTTTAAATACGAACACCCGAACATTCATCCATTTTTTTCTTTCCACATTTTCAATTCATTTGTGGATTTTCTTTTTTCCGTCTTATCCCACCTTTCCACCTATTCTTTTCATTCTTTCTATTCATTAATTTCCATCTATCTAATTTCTTTTTCTTTTTTTCACACTTTCTTTTCCCGAAATTACCATCAAAATATCCCCCCCCCCTTTCCATATTTTAAAGTAGAAATGATGAAATAAAGAAATATGCGTTGACCTGGTTGCATAATTTCATATTTAAAATACTAATTTCAAGCCTTTTAAGCATGGCTTTACCATCTATCTATCTATCTATCTTGAGTAATTGTATTCAGTAGATTCAAGGAAATAGTCTTATTCAGAATTTTTCAGTCTCAATAAATGCATAGTTTTTTTCTCTTCTCTTTTTATAAAATTTATTCTTAATTTTTATCCTATTTTTTGTTGTTATTTGTTTCTTAGTTCTTTCCTTCTCTTTACATCTCATCTTCTTTCCAAGTTCTTTACTCTTTCTTTCTTCTTATCCTCTAATCCGTAAACACTGGCTCCCCGCCTATTTCATGACTTCATTCATAACATAAATTAAATTTAATTTTACATAGTTAAAAAAAAACTTAGATTTTTAACCCCAGAATAGCTTTTTTCTGCAAGTTGGTTTTTTTTAAGACACACTACTCAATTAAAATGGGGTGAAACCAACTTTGATTTTCTTTCGTAATCATTAATATCTAATCCACTGAGTTAAATCTATTATTATTTTTTATTTTATTATTTTATCAAATTCCTTTCATCGAAAAATTCTAATTTCTGTATACTGTTTACGTTCCAAATAATAATTCAGCATCTTTTATATTTTAATCGTTACTACAGAGCCATCAACAAAATTTAAAACCTTACAGCGCGCGTTAAATGTGCAATGGTTAATCTGGACTGGTTTCCTCTCCATTTTTTGCTTTTTTGCGTACAGAAATATTGCTTTTTGCAGACATTTTGAGGAGCAACCAATTCGCATTTGTCAGTTTTTTGCTGTAGGTCACTTTAAAAACGTGAACAATTCCTTTAATATTTTGTATTGTAAATGTTTAGGTTTCCAGGTCTCTGATCTTTTTTATGAGTTTCTTCCTTCCAGAGTTTATTGTTCAGGAATTAAAATCACAACTGTAATAAATGATAAAATTTTAATCTTCTGTATATTTATTATTTACTCCCTCTTCAAAACAAAATCAATTTTTCAAATATCTTATTCGGAACAAAAAATCTTATTCGGAACAAAACATCTTATTCGGAACAAAATATCTTATTCGGAACAAAATATCTTATTCGGAACAAAATATTGTGAATTTAAAATTACAGACTCTGAAAACAGAAACCTGGAGGTTTCCAAAAAACATCAGATCTCTCAACCCTGGGCTTGAGTCCCAAAACTTCCAAGATCCAAAAATTCCTAATTTCAACGAGGATATTTCTGAGAACAACAAGGAATATCTATGTTTGAGAAAAAAAATTCAAATCAAATAGAAGATCAAAATGTACAGAAAAAAGAAAGCTCTGTTTTTATTTCAAACATTTACTCAATAGAAGAGTTTACGAAGCCCTAAGAGGAAAACTGTTAGGAGAATAAGCTTTCCTGAGGAAAAAAGGAAAACTATTCAATCTTACTTTAAATTATGTAAATATCAGTTTCTATCAATTAATTTTGACTTTAATTAACTTAAATTCTTTTCAATTCATTTAAACTATTTTCAATTGATTTTTATTCATTTCAATTAGTTTTTGGTTTCACTCTATTTAAATCAATTTCTTTGAATTTATTTTATATTGTGAAATTTAAATTTTAGTTATTTTAATTGACTTTTATCTAAATTTATTTTAGATTATTTAAATTTATTTAAGTTTATTTACATTGATATCAATTTCGTTAAATTGATATCAATTAGCTTCATTTGATATTAATTCATTTCAACTTCTTTTAATTCCTTTCAATTAATTTCGATTAATTTCAATTGATATTAATTCATTTCAATTCATTTGCAACAATGATTAGTTTTCAGAGCTGACACTGGTTGGCGTTGGGGTAAAAGTATTTCCAATACTTTACTTTCCAATACTTTACAGGTTACATTTCCCATACTTTACAGATTACATTTCCAATACTTTACAGATTACATTTCCAATACTTTCTAGGTTACATTTCCAATACTTTACAGGTTACATTTCCAATACTTTACAGGTTACAATTCCAATACTTTACAGGTTACATTTCCAATACTTTACAGGTTACATTTCCAATACTTTACAGGTTACATTTCCAATACTTTACAGGTTACATTTCCAATACTTTACAGGTTACATTTCCAATACTTTACAGGTTACATTTCCAATACTTTACAGGTTACATTTCNATTTACAAACTTGAAAGATTATATTTACAAACTTGAAAGATTATATTTACAAACTTGAAAGATTATATTTACAAACTTGAAAGATTACATTTAGAAAATTGAAAGATTATATTTACAAAACTTGAAAGATTATTTTTACAAACTTGAAAGGTTATATTTAAAAGCTTGAAAGGTTATATTAAAGATTAATCTTGTGAAACAATATAGAGGCAATTTTTCTTTATGAACAAGGGATCACCGACCTAAATATAAATATTTCAGGATCTTGATATATTAGTATCAAATGTATTTATGGGGTTTCTGAAACCCTTGAGTAAAGAAGAGGTGGCGCACAAGAGAGGAATTCGATTTCCAGATCCAGGTCTAATACAATAATTAGCCGGTCACCCTGGGCTAGCCAGGGATAGATGTTAATTTCGGGTTAATAAGCTTTAAATCAATGAATGTTTTGTTCTATAGTTCAACAATCTTAATTAGCAAAATTATAGAGTTGTCTTTTCTTCTTTTTTATTAAAAACGCAACCACAGATAGAAGAATTTTGGAAAAGAACAAACTAAAAAATATGTTTAACATGATAAATTTTGATCGAAAGTAACAGCTAGCTTGAGAAAACATTCAGTAACGTTACTTGCAGTGACATTTCAAATTACAGTTTCAGATAAATTACTCGATAATGATACGTGACGTTTCAAATTTCAGTTTCATACAAATTACTCGATAATGGTAAAATGGTTAGCAGTGAATTTAGTTCCGTTTTAAGCATTCTTTTTTATATTGTAAGATACTGTTTTATTTAATGTCCTCGAAAATAATAATACGTGTTGAAGCAATCTCACATTTTAAACCTAGGAAGTCATGCAAAATCCCATTGTCAACTATTGTAATTGAAAATCTATTTTTGACGGATGAAACATATATATGCTATAATGTAAATATAAATTTGCATATTTTTTGATAAATCATATCTGTCTTTTGAATTTAACTCAACTCAAAGTTAGATATTTTACACAAGTTTAAACTTTAAAATAAAATTTGTTTATAAAATTAAATTACTATTTGTTTTATATCTTCCGTCAGAGCAAATATTTTCATGCAAAGTGTATATAAGTTTACAGAGTTATGGTTTGTAAAATAAAAAACTTTTTTGGAGCCTCAGAATCTTAAAACCTTAAAAGATCGAAGTTTAAAAACTTACTCTATCAGCTTTGTTGTTATGATTTTACATGTTAAAATATTTGTTTTAAAGAGCTGCAATTTTGTTTTAACTAAAAGTTAATTTTTTTTTATTTATAGATTTGAATTAATTTTAGGTGCTTTCGGAAAGAAAAGGAAGGTTGCATTTCATCGTTTAATATTCATTTGCTAATATAAAAAATGTTTGGGTTTACATCGTCTTCTGATTCTTTTTGTTTGTGTGGGGGGGGGGGTTAGGGGGAAGATAGAATTATATTGGATTAAAATAATGCAACCTATAGTTTCAGCAAGCTTCATCTTCCTAGAAAACAGGGAAACATTAAGGTAATTCAATCTTTTAAACATTAAGGTAATTCAATCTTTTAAACATTAAGGTAATTCAATCTTTTAAAGCGAAATTAGATTTTTCTTTTGAGAGTTTGTTCATTGATTACTGATTATAGAACAAAAGTTAAAGAAAAATTTAAATGTTGTTTAAAAAAATATTGGTTAATAAAAAAATTGGCAGAAATATCAAAATATTTACAGCTTGCAATCTACAATTTTTCTAACAGCTAACTAAACATTTTGTTTTAATTTGGTTTTATAAAGTATATATAAAGTATATATAAACTATATATAGTTTATATATAACCTATATATAAACTATATATAAACTATATATATAAACTATATATAGTTTATATATAACCTATATATAACCTATATATAAACTATATATATAAACTATATATAAACTATATACTTATTCGGAACAAAAAATCTTATTCGGAACAAAACATCTTATTCGGAACAAAATATCTTATTCGGAACAAAATATCTTATTCGGAACAAAATATTGTGAATTTAAAATTACAGACTCTGAAAACAGAAACCTGGAGGTTTCCAAAAAACATCAGATCTCTCAACCCTGGGCTTGAGTCCCAAAACTTCCNTATATATAAACTATATATAAACTATATATAAACTATATATATATAAACTATATATATAAACTATATATAAACAATTATAAACTATATATAGTTTATATATAACCTATATATAAACTATATATAAACTATATATAAACTATGTATAAACTATATTTAAACTATATATAAACTATATATAAACTATATATATAAACTATATATATACTATATATAAACTATATATAAACTATATATAAACTATATATATATAAACTATATATATAAACTATATATATAAACTATATATATAAACTATATATATATACTATATATAAACTATAAATTAAGAACTTAATCTAACTTTTCAAAATTAAATAGTAAAATTTGTTTTCCAGGTTCTTGGATACAGAAACGAGGACTATTTAGAACCTCCAGGTAAAGTAAGCTCCAAAAGTACAAAAGAAAAAGATTTTTGAGGTTGGTTTCACGCTTTTAGGATTTCAAAATAAACTACATAGCAAAGGACCAACAACATAACAACATGCACTTTCGTGATAACATTTTTTCAAATATTGAAAAAACTTGTTAAAACATTTTTTGAGATATGACTGGAATTGAAAATTTCACAAAATGTCATTGTCTAATTCCTACATCTTTGCAACCTGGCGTCGTAATGCATTTTCTCATTCGGGAACAGAAAAATTGTACGCTATCAGGATGCAAAGATATAGGGGTTAGAAATTTTAAGTTTGTGATGAGTACTTAATTCCTTTGCAGGATATTCTGAGAGCGGAAACCAGTATCCGACTCCAAGGTATGTTTTTTCTTTTTCATCTTTGTTTTAGAGCAGTCCAATTTGCGTTTAGCCTCTTCCTCATCTCCCTGCTCTTTTATTTCCACCACAACCTTACACTTTAATCTACCACATAAATAATTTTTTTATTAAAACAAACTTTTTTATTCGAAAATACTAAAATCTGTCAAGATTTGTCAAATTTTAAGATGAAACATAAAAAATAGAACATAAAATGAATTCATTAAAAAATTCAAATCCAACCTGAACGTGCCCGGCATTAGTTCCGGGCTTTTTACATTCCCCAGCCCTATTTTCATCTTGTTTACCCAACTGCAACTCACCTTGAAATTGTATATTTGCTTGTTAATAGATATTTAAAGATTAGCTTCGATGACATGAAATATTTTAAACTTTTCCTTAAATGTAACCTTCTAGAATTATTTAGATATATCAAAGAACAACAAGAAACAGGGATTGTCAAAGTCTTTAGAAATTCTGCATTCATTTTTTTCTCTCGTAATTTTCGGGTCTGTCCTAGTGAACGATTTTTGGACCCCCGCCTCCTAGGCCCCCCCCCTCCTATCAATTTTGTACATGACGAAATTAGTAAATTAGTATTTATTTATTATTATTTAGGGTTAGGTTTATATGTTAAGACACTTTCTAGGCCGAGCGCTGCGGCCAGGACAAAATAGGGGGCCGAGCGCTGCGGCTAGGATAGGCTAGGGGGCCGAGCGCTGCGGCCACGGGTTAGGTTAGTTAAGACACTTTCTGGGCCGAGCGCTGCGGCTAGGACAGGCTAGGGGGCCGAGCGCTGCGGCCACGGGTTAGGTTAGTTAAGACACTTTCTGGGCCGAGCGCTGCGGCTAGGACAGGCTAGGGGGCCGAGCGCTGCGGCCACGGGTTAGGTTAGTTAAGACACTTTCTGGGCCGAGCGCTGCGGCTAGGACAGGCTAGGGGGCCGAGCGCTGCGGCCACATGGTCAATTATATCCATGTCTAACATATAAGATCCATGTACAAAATTGATAAGAGGGGGGGGGGCCTGGGGGGGCGGGGGTCCAAAAATCGTTCTCTAGGAATATACCTAATTTTCTTCTTTTTCATTCTCTCTGTATTCAACTCATAATAATATATCATAATATTCTTTTTTATTTTGGTAATCCTCTTTGTTTTTTAAATTTTCGTCATTTCTTAGTTTTGGCATAATTAATTTCTTTATTTTGCTGGAAAAAAAGATCCGGTCAAAATCGAGCAATTTTATAAAAAAAAAAGATAAAATATGTTTTTGTCCAAAATGAAGAAATCCGATACTTTCGATAAAAAACGTTCCCTGTAAGAGTCTTGTATATCGACCCACTCGATTTAGAAGATTTAAAACAAATTCCCCAACCTAAAGGAATTGAGTCTTTGCCACAAACTCAAATTTTTTTATTCCTATATCTCTGCAATCTGATGGTGTGCACCTTTTATATTTTAAGCTTATTTGATCTCATAGACGACATTGTTTGAAATATCTTAGGTCTACGACACATTGTTGCAAAGATATAGGGATGAGAATATCAGAATTAGTGACAAAGACTCATCTTTTTTGAGGAAAATCGATCAATCGACAATGAGCTATGATTGGACAAGAAGGACATATAAACAGACTGCAGACAGTGATTTCTACTTTATAGATAACTATACTTGTAGAGTCATTCCCTCTACCTGGCCAAAAACATATCTCTAAATGAAATTTGTATTCTAGTTTTAGTGAAGTAAACAAAAACCTGCAGTACAACGAGGAACCCCAGCATCAGGTAGTTAGTATTGAAAAAGTGATATGAATTGACATACTTTTTATATTATTTGTTTGAAAATGTGATCCCAGGTTACAGTTTTAAAAAAGGAGTGTTTGTGAGTTTAAAAAAAGTTTATTTTTGTATTACAATAATCATGACAATTATTTTAATATCGAAATGATTATTACAAAATCTTAGGACCTCCATGCAATGGTTTCTACATCTCATATTACCAAATATTTAAAAAATCCCTTTTATTTTTTTAATCCTGTTTAGTTACTGACTGTTCCTGAAATATTACACTATTATACCCTGGAAGATGCAATTTTACCTTCAGATCTAACTAATCAACCATCATTCCAACCTAGTTATACAGCAAATCATGATATCTACACTGCAAATCAGGATAGCTACACTGCAAATCAGGATAGCTACACTGCAAATCAGGATAGCTACACGACAAATCTTGATAGTTACGCAACAAATCTTGATACCTACACATCAAACCTTGATAGCTACACATCTAACCTTGATAGCTCCACATCAAACCTCGATAGCTCCACATCAAACCTTGATAGCTACACATCAAATGATCATAGTTACACAACAAACGCACACTACGACTCTGAGGCTAATTCCCTTACTAACGATGCAAGTTACCAAACAATTGTTTCAAGTTACCCTAAAGATGAAGAAAAATTACCTCCTATAACTATAGTTTACCCTGAAAAGGTTGAGGAATATGGCCAAGATTACTTAGCAACTGGTTCCAGCTTTTTTAAGAATGGTATTTCAAATAATAATCCTTCAACAGTTACAAGTTTTCCTGCAGCAAATGATGTCAGTTTGACTAACTCTGCTAGCTATCTACCGGAGGATGCCAGTAACTTTGATCTCATTCGGTCAAAAGTTCAGCCCGAGAACCAAAGTGAAGGACAACATGAGGAAGTGCTTGATTTCAACCAGAAGAACACCGAGAACGTCTACAACCCAACAGGGGACAACTACAACATTGTGTTTATCGACATCAGCAACAACATCAAAAGTGAGTCCTTGCTGAAGAAAGAATGGAGGGAAGGAAGAATAGAATCAGAAAAGGGTTCTAAAGGTCTACAGAGTCTACAAGTTTACGAAGTAGATACCTATGGCAGTCCTATTGGTAAGCATGAACCCAAAATAATTTATTGAAAAATATTAAACCACGTTTGAAAGGAACGTAAAGAAAGACATTGTGCTGTGCTGTATAGATTCAGCCTGCTTATAAAAAGTCTAATCAATTTTTATGCATTTCTGTCTAACCTGTACATTTTAGCACTTTAAAGCACTTAGTGTTAGCTTTGGGTTTTAAGAAGTAATTGGCAAATTTTTTATCGATTTTTGCTTGAGAGGGTGAGACCTTTGAATCACAGAGATGTATAAGAATGTGGATTGTAGAATCACAGTGATGTATAAGAATGTGGATTGTAGAATCACAGTGATGTATAAGAATGTGGATTGTAGAATCACAGTGATGTATAAGAATGTGTATTGTAGAATCACAGTGATGTATAAGAATGTGTATTGTAGAATCACAGTGATGTATAAGAATGTGGATTGTAGAATGACAATTTCAGCCTGAAATCCCTGAAATGAGGCGGAATTGTTGGAAATGAAAATTTAATTTGTTTTTAGATAAAAAAAACTTGGCGGAAAGCATGTCGTAAATAAATTAACTTCCGGTATTTCTTTCTTCCATTCTTTCTTTAGAAATACTTTTATTTTTAGAGGGTTTCTCATTAGTACAGCAGTACATTAGTACATTAGTACATTAGTACATTAGTACATTAGTACATTAGTAATGTCAGAACTCTGACAGGATTAGGGGAGGGGAAGATACCAAGCCATACCAAGCCAACTTTTTGAATTTTCGCTGGAAAAAAATTATATTAAATGGACTTAAGAAAGTGCCACGATCTCTCAGTGCTCAGGGGGGCTATGTACCTCAATTTTCTCGAGGGAAATCCCACCTTCCCCCCTCTATTCAGCCACTCCATTTTAGGCAAATCGGTTCAGGGTTCAGGAGTTAAGAGATTTTACTGTTTCATATATAGAGTTTTTTACAGGGTTACCCACAAAAGATGAGACTGTAACGACGACCCGAAACTCTAAAAACGATATGAAGCTTGATTTTGGTTTATGCAATTAAAAGAGTTTTGATGGTTACAAAATTGACAATCACAGAAATATGCCAGATTTGACCTACAAGGAACCCTGAATGCAAGAAAACGGACTCAATAAATTCTATACAATCGTCTCTAAAGTCTTTTCCTTTGTGGGTACATTCACGATTGAGAAATGTAAATTAATAATTATGAAAATAACTGTTTTAACAGCTTTACGTTATTACGAAATTTTTTTAGGCGATATCATTACAAGCTTTACTCCAGACCAAGAAAGTAAAGAACCTTTCAGTATTCAACCTGCATCTGGAAGTCAGCCCATATCTAGTATTCAGACGGTATCCAGTAGTCAGCCTGTATCTAGTATTCAACCTCCATCTGGAATATTCAGTTCATCTAATTTACCAGTCGAGATACCCTCCTCATCATCTTTTTCCTCCAGTCCTTCAGCTGCAATATCCAGTATACCTTCTTCAATAGCCAACATTGCTCCTTCAATATCCAACATTGCTCCATCAATATCCAACAATCCCTTTTCTATATCCAATACCCATCCATATCCTTCAAGTAACCTAGTGTTTCCTTCTTTGCATCCGGAAATGAGTGTTTCCGAAAATTTTCCAGTTTTTGATGAATTTTTCACCCCTGAATTAATAAATATCCTCCCTGGCGCTCAGGGGTTTACTACTCCGGTTCCCGAGGGGGAAGAGTACACCCCGTTCAAGTTCCCTGAAGTAACAACATACACCCCTGAGGAAACTGTTCCTTCAACACAGAGCATTGTTTTCCCAGGTCTGTATCCGTTTATTTATACCACTGTATTCTTCGTCTTCCCAGGTCTGTATCCTTTTATTTATACCACTGTATTCTTCATCTTCCCAGGTCTGTATCCGTTTATTTATACCACTGTATCCTTCGTTTTCCCAGGTCTGTATCCGTTTATTTATACCACTGTATTCTTCGTCTGCCCAGATCTGTATCCGTTTATTTATACCACTGTATTCTTCGTCTGCCCAGATCTGTATCTGTTTATTTATACCACTGTATCCGTTTATTTATATCACTGTATTCTTTGTCTTCCCAGGTCTGTATCTATTTCTTTATATCACTGTTTCTTTCGTCTTCCCAGGTCTGTATCCGTTTATCTATATCACTGTATCCATCGTCTTTCAATGCTGCATCTGTTTATTTATATATCTGTATCCTATGTCTTCCCAGGTCTGTATCCGTTTATTTATATCACTGTATCCTTTGTCTTCCAAGGTCTGCATCCGTTTATTTATAACACTGGATTGTATCCATTGTCTTCAGAAATCTGTGTTCGTTTATTTATATCACTGTATCCGTCGTCTTTCAAGGTCGGTATCCGTTTATTTATATCGCTGTGTCCATTATCTTCCAAGGTCTGTATCCGCTTATTTATATCACTGTTAATTTTCCATTGAGACATGTACCCTTGCATCCTCTATTTGTTTATTCTTTCTTCATTTTATCCACATTTGTCGTCCTACGTGCATCAGGATGTATATCCAATATCTATGGAGTAATATCCTATTTTTCTTTATTTATTTTTTATTTTTGTATCCATGTATCTTTGTATCCTTGCAACCTTATTACTCATAGAAAAAAACTTTTGTCAATTAATTAATTTTATTATATTTTATTTCAGAGAATCCTGGAAACCAGGAGAGCCTTGAACATTATCCTGAAGATGACGAATTACTGGCTGTTAAAGGAGAGAAGCTTAAAACTGTTATCGGGAACAGTATATTTTATGGAGACACGTATAGCTTTATCAATAAAAACTGAAAAAGGGGGTGGGGTGTACCAGCAGTGAGAGAGAACAATTTGTGTAAAAAAATAATCTAATTTTTTCCTGTGCTTGGAAACTGCAAACAATATATTTAGAGAAGTCCAATCTAGTCTTGTTAGAAATGATGAATCTGCAGGGGCGGATACAGGAACACACCAGGGGTCACCCAACTCAGACATTTTCTCTCCATTTTTCGTAGATTTTCCGGGGGTGAGCTATTACTTCAATGCTCACCCCTGTATCCGCCCCCTGACCAATAAGTAAAGAATACAAAACTGTAAAAACTGTATTTTTATGACGTAGTAAATACCGTGTTTTGTTATTTTAGTAATTTTAATTAAAATTGTTGAAACTTGTTATTTAATTTCTTGTTAATTTCATTCAAAAGTTCTTGATTCAGTATTATCTATTATAACCTGTGATAAAAATCAGATAATTATTTATAACTATATTGTTATAGAAAAATCTGAAAAATATAGAATGAAAAAAATGAAATAAGTCTTTGCCACAAACTTAAGTTTTCTAATCCATATATCTCAGAAATCTGATGGCTTTTAAACCTTTTATATCTTAAACTTAGATAAATTGATCTTACAGAATTCATAGTTTAAATATCCAAGGTCTTTGACTAGTTTAAATATCCAAGGTCTATGACGTTGGGTTGCAAAAATATAGTGATAAGAAAATCAGTACAGCTGAAGTTTAGTGTTGTGCAAAGGATTAAGTTTAGGGATAAATTACCAAGGATAAGTCTTAAAGGGTTCGTTCACCTATTTTAAAATTTTGGGGAATTACTGGTCAATCTTTTCGTTTAAAGATGTTTCTGAAGACTCTAAAGGCCGGAATAATGAACAACACTTTTTGTTAAAAACTTGGCGTTGTGCCAGAAATAACATGATGTTTCTTTGTAATGGATTTTATAACCATCTTCTGTAAATTGGATTGTCCAGTGTCAAATGTCCAGAATGGTAACACATAGTTATGAAATTTTCAATCAAGAAATTAGAATAAGCGTATAGTAAAACATTTTGCTTTGTAACAACATTAAATGCTCTTGTATTGCTAAATATCGTCGTTCTATTCCATAGTTTTCACAGAAAGTATTTATCTTAAAGTGCAGAGAGCGGCGGTATAGGTTTGGCTTAATTGTGTTGCTAATATTAAAAATTTGTGAAAATATGTTTATTTTTCAAATGGGTGAACAGTCCCTTTAAGATTAAATGATTTAGAAATAAGTTGTTTTTCTTTATCAGCATCAGTAACAACACATGCCAATTTATAGACCACCAACTAATTTTTATTAAAGTACACCGGTGCTTAAGCTTACTGCTTGTAAAAATGATTTATATAACCGTAAGAATCTGTTCATTGACCATTGTTTTGAAGGAAGAATTCTACTTTTTTTTAAATATTTTAAATATGAATGCATATTTAACATCTTACTTCAAACTTTTATGTTTAGTTGAGTTGGACACACTATACATGTTCACTGTGCAGTTTTTACAAGATTATTTCTAGTCTTCCATTAAATAGTTAAACCCTTGTAGGTCGTCATTAAATAGTTAAACCCTTTTAGGTCGTCATTAAATAGTTAAACCCTTGTAGGTCGTCATTAAATAATCTTACATTGTGAGTAATACTGGAAAGAACTCGTAAATGAGAATTATTAGGATTAAACTTTTTTTTTAATTTGTTCAATCATTGAATGAAAAAACTGCAGCGCAGACATATAAATACAATAAATGTTGATCTTATGGATGACAATCGTGATAAAATCTTTCCACATCACACACTCACACACATTTCCTCTAAACCCTAAAAACAACTCCATGATCTGCAAATCTGTAAAACTTCCCCTTTTCATTGTGTCCAAATAAAAGAAATAAAATATATTTCCCTAAGCTTAAAGGGAGTGTTCGCAAAAAATGAAAGGGGGCATTGGTTGACGTCAAAAAGAATTCAATAATGATCGCTTCTAATTTTACTTCTATCAGTTGTGTCTATGAGGAGAAAATGTTTAAAAACAACTCATACCCAAGAGCGTAGCGTCCATGCAAATTTACGTAGTTGCATTTTTCCACTGAGAGCTTAAATAATTCAATTAAATTTAAAACTTCCCATTCATACATTACAACCTACAATTGGCGAATGCAATTCGATGCATTTGTATATATTTGATATTTCATATGTTTTCTATTCTTTTATTTTTATTAATATTTCGCTGACAACGGCTGTTTTCACGGCTGGCGTTGGATTTTCGAACATTCCTGAGAAAAAGAAAATACCGTCTTCATTATCAAAAATCCTCGAAACAGGAATCAATGTTTTCAAAAGTAACTCTCGAATCATAAAAAATTTAAAATATTTTGAAATATCAACTTTATACGAATGCATTCGACAATTGTATGAATGATTAGTTTTAAATTTAATTGAATTATTTACGATGGGATGAGTTGGGAAAATGCAACTTCGTGAATTTGTATGGTGTTAAACGTTTTTAAACATTTTCTCATCGTACACGCAATAGATAGAAGTAAAATTGGTAACGATCAATATAGAATAAAAGTCAATATCAGCCTAAACCCCCTTTCATTTTTCGCGAACACTCCCTTTAAAAATTTTAATATTAGGCGTGATCAAGGGATATAGCGAACACACGATGATAAACAATATAATTACAATGATAAACGTATTTTCGTTTACTAGAGAACTTAAAGGTTAAATTTGAGTTTCGCAGTGTCATTTATACATATATATATATATATATATGTATATATGTATATGTATATGTATACGTATATATATATATATATATATACGTATACATATACATATACACATACATATTATATTGAGAAACAAGCATTTAAAGAGAATGTGTTTAGTGCATGTATTGCTTTTTAAAATTTTAATCCAGCTTTGGTCTACAAGAATCAAATGGGTTTCTGATATTTCAAAATTATTTGCTCTTCTTTCATTGCATTGTATACACAAATTTTACTCAAACACAAATATTTAAAGTTTTTTATCACTGATTAGTCCAGTTTCAAGGCTCCAAAAGAATCTAAAAATCATAGTTTAAAAAACATCATCTGGAGCCTTTAAACAGTCGATTCCCATTTATTAGTTTGTTTTTTTTTCCATTTTTTGAGCAAATACTGAAATTTGTTCAACTTTTGATTGATAGGTTTACATGTTATTCCTATTCCTTTCTTTCTTTTTTTGTTAGGGGTTATGTTCCCTTGTGTGGAGCAAAATTTAAAACGAAAATTGAGGATGTTTAAGACTACAAAAATGGAAAATGTGTTTAATATTTACAATTAACAATTGAAACTTTTATTCGACGATTTTAGGTGAAACTACCGGCCAAATTCAAGTGCGAGAATTGTAAACTGTATAATTTATATGAATGA